TTTCGGATGAATCCATCAATGCGAATTTTTTTTTTTCATTTCATAGGGTCTTTCGGGGGGAGCAACCAGCAATCCGTTACGACGTCGTATCAACCGGACGCATTTCCTCGATCATTGCCCCCATTGGTCTCCTTTGCTGGACTATGATTTGGTGCATAGCCTTGGGCATCTGGCAAATAAGCTTATGGTTTTCTTCTGAAAGTCCGACCAATAAGTCATATAGTGGAAAAAAATATATAGGGTTAATCCATTTGTATTGGTTTGTTGATAATGGATTACCCCTCTCACACGAGGCCCACATGTATTTAAAAATTTCTATAATGTGGTCTACATCTCCATTGTTATTAGTAGATAAAAGATTCGATCAAAAAATTCGGTACGTACAGCATGATCCAAATAGGAAGTGAAACCGAAGAATAAGGAACAAGTTCACCTCACTTGGCTTATTTCATCGAAAAAAAGAAACTGCAAGGTCCTAGATGAGATTAAAAAATTAAAAAGTAAGTTTCTTTTTCTCGTAATCCCATCTACTTCTAGATGGAATGTCACTTTCGTCCAAACAAAGAGTGAAAGCATTTGCTCGCCTTTCTGCTCGGGGTAATTTAAGCCCTTGTTTAGCACCCGTTCTATAAAACTCATTTTTTCTCGAACTCATTTTCAATAACACATTTCATAAAATACAGAACTTTTGTCAACTTTTCAATTACATAATCTACTAAAAATCCAATTATAACTAAATTGGGCTAAGTAAGCTCACTCGACAAAGAGGGAGTCTTATACTTCGAGCAAGGCACAAATACAGTGTTACATGAATGTCTATTAAATTAGAAAAACACTCCTTGTACCGGGGGGTTGTACACCCCCCTGGTACGAATAGCAGGCTTCATTAAATTAATAAACATTAATTTGAACTTAAAATGTGTTCATATTCTACTTTCTATTCAAATTAGTCCTCACAAATATTACACATGGAAGACTAGTCAAATTACAATATTATTTTGCGCAGAGCCTCCTAAGAAGATCAAATCTCCAAGCTTACGAGTACCGAGATATTGTTGAAGCTTTCCAATTTTTCTTTTCGATCAAGCACTATATCAGTTCCAAGAACGCCCACCGCCAAAACCTCTCCCACGATCTCGGAAACTTCCGTGACCTATTAATGATGTAGGAAGAAACTATTGGAATCAGACTTGAGTCACTTTTAAGCAACTTTTTGTTAAGTGATACGGTCATAAGAAAAAATTATATTCATCATCGACCAATTAAAAAATTATTTATAGTAAAGCTTACGTATTAGCTTATTTATTTTTTCCAAACATGTTCTCACAGAAAGAGAAGAAAGTATGTACGTGTGTAAGACTCACCTGGAGGCGGAGGTACACCACGTCCCATAGCTGCAAGCTCCAGACTAACCTTCTGTCCAGCCTCCTTGATGATGCTAATGAGTTCCTTTGTAAATCGGGCATTTGCAACCGTGAAAAAAGTGTATGCCGTTCCTTTGGCACCAGCCCTTCTTGTTCGACCGATATGATGAAGATAATCCTCGAGAGATCCCGGGAAGTCATAGTTGATGACATATTTCACATCCTTCACATTTGGCAGGTTCAAAAACAAACTGTATGGAATAAAATACTTCATCCTAAAGTAACATAATGGATTTCTCTGTGAATGCTCCAAACCAGCAGAAACAGAAATTATCAGTGTTTGACAAACAAGGGTGCGTTTGATTGCAAGGGTGGAAAGAAAATATTTTACAGGAAAAGATTTGCCTAAAAAATATTTTTCGGGGAAAATGATTTCAAATGTGTTTGATTGGTATAATTTTTCACCTGGAAAATTTTTAAATTTTCTATTCGTTTGGCTTTGTTTTACATGGAAATTGTCCATTAAAGTGATATTTTTTTCCACAATTGGTTATAAAATTTGTTTCCATTGCCAAAAAGTAAAAAAAAAAAAAAAGG